TGGGAGAACCTGCTTCGACCCACCATTGCCATCCACCACCATCCACCAACAAAGACAGAGATTCCCCGTGTAGCTTTCGCAGACTGTTGGGGCAAGTGCTGCTAGCGAGCACCTATGAAGGCCGGTACGGCACACGAGGGGGTGGGTGGCCAGCAACCACGCACGGCCGCCTTTGTCTCCCTCGTTGCAAATGTTTTTACACATCGCACCAGGTACTCAATTGAGGCTGAGTCGACCTAGGCGAGGCCCAGGATAGGTTCGGATAATCGTCACTTGGTGTGGGCCGTTGAGCGGGAATCGAACCCCGGGTCACTGCCGGGTTCATAGCGCTAACCGCAACTACACTACCGCTCCCCCCCAACCACCACCATGCCACCGTCACCCTCACCGTCACCGTCACCCTCATCGTCACCCTCACCGTCACCATCACCGTCACCCTCACCGTCACCGTCACCGTCACCCTCATCCTCATCGTCACCCTCACCGTCACCCTCACCGTCACCCTCACCGTCACCCTCACCGTCACCGTCACCGTCACCCTCATCGTCACCCTCACCGTCACCCTCACTGTCACCCTCACCGTCACCCTCACCGTCACCCTCACCGTCACCCTCACCGTCACCCTCACCGTCACCCTCACCGTCACCCTCATCGTCACCCTCACCGTCACCCTCACTGTCACCCTCACCGTCACCCTCACCCTCACCGTCACCGTCACCCTCACCGTCAACCTCACCGTCACCCTCACCGTCACCCTCACCCTCACCGTCACCCTCACCGTCACCCTCACCGTCACCGTCACCCTCACCGTCACCCTCACCGTCACCCTCACCGTCACCGTCACCCTCACCGTCACCGTCACCCTCACTGTCACCCTCACCGTCACCCTCACCCTCACCGTCAGCGTCACGCTCACCCTCACCGTCACCCTCACCCTCACCGTCACCCTCACCGTCACCCTCACCGTCACCGTCACTCTCACCGTCACCCTCACCCTCACCGTCACCCTCACCTTCACCGTCACCCTCACCGTCACCCTCACCGTCACCCTCACCGTCACCCTCACCCTCACCGTCACCCTCACCGTCACCCTCACCGTCACCGTCACCCTCACCGTCACCCTCACCCTCACCATCACCCTCACCGTCACGCTCACCGTCACCCTCACCGTCACCCTCACCGTCACCCTCACCGTCACCCTCACCCTCACCGTCACCCTCACCGTCACCGTCACCGTAACCCTCACCGTCACCCTCACCGTCACCCTCACCGTCACCCTCACCGTCACCGTCACCCTCACCGTCACCCTCACCCTCACCGTCACCCTCACCGTCACCGTCACCCTCACCGTCACCCTCACCGTCACCATCACACTCACCGTCACCCTCACCGTCACTCTCACCGTCACGCTCACCCTCACCGTCACCCTCACCGTCACCGTCACCCTCACCGTCACCCTCACCCTCACCGTCACCGTCACCCTCACCCTCACCGTCACCCTCACCGTCACCCTCACCGTCACCGTCACCCTCACCGTCACGCTCACCGTCACCCTCACCGTCACCCTCACCGTCACGCTCACCGTCACCCTCACCGTCACCCTCACCGTCACCGTCACCGTCACCCTCACCGTCACGCTCACCGTCACCCTCACCCTCACCGTCACCCTCGCCGTCACCCTCACCGTCACCCTCACCGTCACCCTCACCCTCACCGTCACCCTCACCGTCGCCCTCACCGTCACCCTCACCGTCACCGTCACCCTCACCGTCACCCTCACCGTCACCCTCACCCTCACCGTCACCCTCAACGTCACGCTCACCGTCACCCTCACCGTCACCCTCACCCTCGCCGTCACCGTCACCCTCACCGTCACCCTCACCGTCACCCTCACCCTCACCGTCACCCTCACCGTCACCCTCACCGTCACCGTCACCCTCACCGTCACCCTCACCGTCGCCGTCACCCTCACCGTCACCCTCACCGTCACCCTCACCCTCGCCGTCACCCTCACCGTCACCCTCACCGTCACCCTCACCCTCACCGTCACCCTCACCGTCACCCTCACCGTCACCCTCACCGTCACCGTCACCCTCACCGTCACCCTCACCGTCACCGTCACCCTCACCGTCACCCTCACCGTCACCGTCACCCTCACCGTCACCCTCACCGTCACCCTCACCCTCACCGTCACCCTCAACGTCACGCTCACCGTCACCCTCGCCGTCACCCTCACCCTCACCGTCACCCTCACCGTCACCCTCACCGTCACCCTCACCGTCACCCTCACCGTCACCCTCACCGTCACCCTCACCGTCACCCTCACCGTCACCCTCGCCCTCACCCTCGCCGTCACCCTCACCCTCACCGTCATCCTCACCGTCACCCTCGCCGTCACCCTCACCGTCACCCTCACGGTCACCCTCACCGTCACCCTCACCGTCACCCTCACCGTAACCCTCACCCTCACCGTCACCGTCACCCTCACCGTCACCCTCACCGTCACCCTCACCGTCACCCTCACCGTCACCGTCACCCTGTTGTGTATTTTGTCGCCATTCGTGATTAGACGCCAGAGCCGAAATCGTTTCCCTCCACCCCTGAGACGCTCCTCGTTACCACCACCACTACTACTACTATACTACTACACTACTACTACACTACCACTACTACTACACTACTACTACACTACTACTACTACACTACCACTACTACTACACTACTACTACTACACTACCACTACCATCACTACTACTACTACACTACTACTACACTACCACTACTACTACTACACTACTACTACACTACCACTACTACACTACTACTACTACACTACTACTACACTACTACTACTACCATCACTACTACTACTACACTACTACTATTCTACTACACTACTACTACCACTACTACTACACTACCACTACTACTACTATACTACTACACTACTACTACCACTACTACTACCACTACTACTACTATACTACTACATTAGTACTACTACCACTACTACTACTACCACTACTACTACCACCCACTACTACTACACTACTACTACTATACTACTACTACTATACTACTACACTACTACTGCCACTACTACTACCACTACTACTATACTACTACACTACTACCACTACTACTACACTACTACTACCACTACTACTACCACCCACTACTACTACACTACTACTACCACTAACACCACTAGTACTACTACCACTACTACCACTACTACTACTACCACTACTACCACTACTACTGCACTACTACTACCACTACCACCACTAGTACTACTACCACTACTACTACTACCACTACTACCACCACTACTACTACCACTACTACCACTACTACTACCACTACTACCACTACTACCTCTACCACCACTACTACCACCCACCACTACCACTACCATTACTACACTACTACCACTACTACCACTACTACCACTTCTACTACCACCCACTACTACCACTACTACCACTACTACTACCACTACTACCACTTCTACTACCACCCACTACTACCACTACTACTACCACTACTACTACCACTACTACTACCACTACCCCCACTACCCCCACTACCACTACTACCACTACCACCACTTCTACCACTACTACTACCACTACCACCACTACTACCACTACTACCACTACCACCACCACTACTACTACCACTACTACTACCACTACTACTACCACTACCACTACCATCACTACTACCACTACTACTACCACTACTACTACCACTACTACCACTACTACCACCACTACTACCACTATCACCATCACCACTACTACCACTACTACCACTACCCACTACTACCACTACCACCACCACTACCACTACCATTACTACCACTACCACCACCACCACCACCACTACTACCACTACTACCACCACCACCACTACCACCACTCACTACCACCACCACTACCACCACTACTACCACTACCACCACCACTACTACCACTACCACCACTACTATCACTACCACCACCCACTACTACCACTACTACCACTACCACCACTACTACCACTACCACCACCACTACCACTACTACCACTGCTACCACCACCACCACTACTACCACTACTACCGCTACCACCACCACTACCACCACAACTACCTCCACCACTACCACCACTACTACCACTACTACCACCACCACTACCACCACTACTACTACCACCACTACCACCACTACTACCACCACCACTACCACCACTACCACCACTCACTAATACCACTACCACCACCTCTACCACCACCCACTACTACCACTACTACCACCACCTACCACTACTACCACCACCCACCACTACTATCACTATCACCACTACTACCACTACCATCACCACCACTACCACCACCCACTACTACCACTACCCTTACTACCACCACCCACCACTACCACCACTACTACCACTACCACCACCACTACCACCACCCACTACTATTACCACTACCCATCGCTACCACCACCCACCACCACCACCACTACCGCCACTACCCACCGCTACCACCACCCACCACTACCACCACCACTACCACCACTACTACCACTACCACCACTCACTACTACCACCACTCACCATTACCACCACTCACCCCTACCACCACCACTACCCACACACCACTACCACCACTACCCACACACCACTACCGATAACCGCCACCAACTGCCACGCCCCAGCACCACCCACCCACCACCAACTACCCACTGCTACCCACCACCACCTACCCACCAATACCTAACACCACACACCAACCATCACCACCCACTACCACCACCCACCACCACCAATAACAACCACCACTTACCACCGCCGACTACGCACCACCAACCAACTACCACCCACCACGATCCACCGCCACCACCACCACCAACGTCGCAACATCGCTATTGTTTCATGAATGCGATTGCTTGTTACGTCTCGTGCCCTCATTGCAGCGCTCTCTCTCTCTCTCCCCCCTTGGTGTCTCCCTTCAGGCACCCCGAAGCAACTCCAACGGAAGCAAAGTACGCGTGTGACTCTCTCTCTCGCTCTCTCTGGCCGTGTTCAACACTCCACTGCTCACACGTCCTCTGCCGCACTCGAATATTAATAAGAGCAATTAAGACAGTCCGTGCGTGTGTGTGCACTCTGTAAATGCTTTCCTTGTACCTGTCAGTGGGTCGGTGGATGGGTGGGTGATTGAGTCGGTGGGTGATTGGGAGTGTGTGTGGGTGAGTGAGTGTGTTGAGGAGCGAGTGAGCGGGTGGGTGAATGTGCGAGCGAGTGGGTGTATGGGTGGGTGGGTGAGTGAGTGTGTGCGTGGGTGGGTGGGTGAGTGAGTGAGCGAGTGGGTGTATGGGTGGATGGGTGAGTGAGTGAGCGAGTGGATGTACGGTTGAGTGGGTGGGTAAGTGAGTGAGTGAGTGGGTGGTTGGGTGGGTGGGTGAGTGAGCCAGTTGATGTGTGTATGCGAGGGTAAGTGAGTGAGTGGGTGGGTAAGTGAGTGAGTGAGCGAGCGAGTGGGTGTGTGGGTGGGTGGGTAAGTGAGTGAGTGAGAGAGCGAGTGGGTGTGTGGGTGGGTAAGTGAGTGGGTGGGTGAGTGAGTGAGCGAGCGAGTGGGTGTGTGGGTGGGTGGGTAAGTGAGTGAGTGGGTGTATGCGTGGGTGGGTAAGTGAGTGAGTGAGCGAGTGGGTGTAAGCATGGGTGGGTAAGCGAGTGAGTGGGTGAGTGAGTGAGTGAGCGAGTGGGTGTGTGGGTGGGTGGGTAAGTAAGTGAGTGAGTGGGTGAGTGAGTGAGCGAGCGAGTGGGTGTGTGGGTGGGTAAGTGAGCGAGTGGGTGTGTGGGTGGGTGGGTAAGTGAGTGAGTGGGTGTAAGCGTGGGTGGGTAAGCGAGTGAGTGAGTTTTAACCCATCATACTTCATTTTCATGCGCCTATTTTTTCCGCGGGACTTTAACGTTGTCTCTCGTTCTCTCCGCCCCAACGCTCGCGTCCCCACTAGATGGGAGCCAGCCGGCCACCTCATCCACCTCGTCGGGGCCCCCCACGGCCTCGCGACGAGCTGACAATGAGGAGGGGGCAGGGATGGGACGACGATGGCTCACCCTCACCGCTGTCGTCACCGTAGCAGCCGTGCTCGCTGCCGTCCTCGCCGTCGCGATTATCGTGCTGGGGTGGGCGGATTCCGGCACGCTCTCCGGTAGGCCTTGTGAGGGGCTGGGCTGCGGGGGGGGGGGGGATCGAGTGTTGCTCCCTTGCGCAAGGTGGGGGTTTTGCCCCTGTGCTCCAGTTTCCTCCCACGTCGGTATAATAATAATAAAAAAAAACGTCTATCGCTAAATCTGCTAAAAGCAAATTTCGATTTAAAGCTAAAAGCACGTTGACGAGTAAAACCCAATCCAGCAGCAGCAGGACCGTTCTGGCAACAACTCCTACAGCTAGGCGTGGCTCTCCGGAAAGAATGAAACAAGCTGAGTGAACGAATGGTCGCCTGACCTCCACACGGCCTTCCCTCCTTTGGCTGCAACTCTGTGACGGACCTCGCCCATCGGCCACCCACCAGCGCCTCCCGCAGCACGAACCCCTTTGTCTTCATCGGAGCGCGGACGGAGCCGGAGCCGATGATCGCCTTCCACGCCCACCGCTGCCGGGAAATCGAATGGGGACTTTGAAGGTGGAGGGGCGGGTGGTGGCGCGATGGTGGCGTGGCAGCCACGCGCAAACACGCGCACGAGACAAAGATCCCCCATATCGCCTCGAGAATTTTGGTGCAAGTGCCGTGATCGAGCAGCACCTATGAAGGCCGGCACGGCACACAAGGGGATGGGTGGCCATCACCACGCCCGGCCGCCTTTGTTTCCCTCGTGGCGATTTTTTTTAAAACCACGCCAGGTGGTCACCTGACCTAGGGGAGGCCCAGGGCCGATTAAAAAAAATTGTCACCGGTGTAGGCCGTGAGCGGGAATCAAACTCTGGTCGTCGGGTTCGTAGCACAGCAGCTCTCTAACCGCTACGCTACCGCTTTCCACAGCCGCCATTCGCCACTTAGTGGGGGCGACGTCACCGCGGCGCCTGTGCCAGGCTATGTGCACCCTGAGGCCACGTGGAGTGTCGAACGCCCGCTGGCAGGAGATGACGGGGCAGACCCAGCAGGTGCCACGGGTCGACTAACTGAGATCGCGGGGCAGACCCAGCAGGTGCCACGGGTCGGCTGACTGAGATCACGGGGCAGACCCAGCAGGTGCCACGGGTCGACTGACTGAGATCACGGGGCAGACCCAGCAGGTGCCACGGGTCGACTGACTGAGATCGCGGGGCAGACCCAGCAGGTGCCACTGATCGACTGACTGAGATCACGGGGCAGACCCAGCAGGTGCCACGGGTCGACTGACTGAGATCACGGGGCAGACCCAGCAGGTGCCACTGATCGACTGACTGAGATCACGGGGCAGACCCAGCAGGTGCCACGGGTCGACTGACTGAGATCACGGGGCAGACCCAGCAGGTGCCACGGGTCGACTGACTGAGATCGCGGGGCAGACCCAGCAGGTGCCACTGATCGACTGACTGAGATCACGGGGCAGACCCAGCAGGTGCCACGGGTCGACTGACTGAGATCACGGGGCAGACCCAGCAGGTGCCACTGATCGACTGACTGAGATCACGGGGCAGACCCAGCAGGTGCCACGGGTCGACTGACTGAGATCACGGGGCAGACCCAGCAGGTGCCACGGGTCGGCTGACACGCACGCACGGAGCCCCTTCCCCCCGCGCCCTTGCGCGCGTCACGCCCCACCGACTACCCGAACTCAAAACAAACTTTTTTGGTCGCCCCGCGTTCGGATATTTTTACGACCAGCATCGCAGATGCGGGGGGGGTGTAACCCCTCCTCCCCCCCCCACCCCGCCTCCTCCTTTCCACACCTTTTCCCACGCACCCCGCTTGGACCGACGCAGTGACGCGCGGCGTCACGGGCCAGCGGTCGTTACAGTTGGCCCGCAATGCGGGCGTGGGCGTGGGCGTGACCGCGGGCGACTGCGTTCATTGTCTTCGGGAAGCCGGGCGGCCGGCACGTCACCTGGGCCTGCACGGCCGCCCGCACGGCCACCCCGGCGCCCTCTCGTCGCCCTGCGTCTCCGCCCCGGGAGTGGAAGGTGGCAGCAGCCTTGAGCCGCTCGCCACACTCTGCTGAGCGAGAGCTCGCGACGAATGCCATCGATGCGGCGACCGCACGTCGATCGCCGATCTCCTGGCCTCCAGAGCGGCAGCACCAAGCCACGCCAGTCGCCCTGCTCAAGGCCGAACGACGATGTGCCAGATAGGCCCTGCCAGGGCAAGGCAAGGATCCTCCGACTGAACATTGAGGGACTCTCCCGGGCGAGTCTGCGGCCCTCCGTGTCTAAGCCATTGGGGACCGCGCGGGTCAAGCGCTGGTGGCTCGGACCCGGACGTGACCCCCAGGATCTCGACATCTGTGACCCCCTCTGAGCTACGCTGGCCACTTCTGGGAGGGCCCTGTTGTCAAGTGGCCTCGGGGTCAACGACTCTTGACCCCCACTCCACAACTCCCTGAGCCGTGGAGATCATTGCCCTCTCCCACCCCCCCCCCCCCCAACCGCGTTTGTGAATCAACAACCAAAACACGTGGCACGAACACGCGTGCTCATATTTATCCCGATTAACACGTAGGTTTTCGCGACCAATATTTTCCATAATAGAGGTTTTATTCGGTTAGATCACGTAAATATAAATGCGTCGTTAAACCCGCCACCACACGACACTCAGATTGTAAATGTTGTGGCTTGGCTCTGCAACGCACGGGTGTGCTGTACTAGTGACGAATTGGCCACGTTCTGTTCACGTGACAACCCTTACTAGTTGGCTGTGTCGGGGGGTGGTGGCTTTAACGACGTAACATTTATATATTTACACGATCTAACCCTAAAAAAACATCTTATAGTAAAGTTAGTCACGTAAACAAAACATTCCAATTACTTACTAGTACAGCACACCGGTGTGTCAGAGAGTAAACCCCACGACATTTACAATTCGAGTCCGACGTTTCGCCGGTACTTATAACTGCCTGATGATGCTGGTTGGCACGTTTTGTTTACGTGACAAACCCTACTAGCTGGCCGTGTCGGGTGGTGGTGGGTTTAACTACACACATTTACGTGATATAACCCCCCCCCCCCAAAAAAAAACCCCTCTGTTATGAATATGTTTATCCTCACTCATTGGTTTGTTCGGTAAAGTCACGTATGTAGAAATATAATAAAATTATATTAAAGCAAAAAACAATCACGAAACGTTGTGATTGTTTTTTGTTTTAACGTAATTTTATTGTATTTCTACACACGTGACTTTACCGAAAAAAACAATGAGTAATTTTATGCAGTCACGAAAGCTTTAATACTTTATTATGTTTATTCTGCTTGTTTAACCAGTGGAAGGCCTCATCCACGTGTTCACTACTCGGAGGCATGCGGTTGCTGTGATGCGTATCCCGGATTGATTAATTGATTAACTCGGGGAGAAGGGGGGTGGGGGGGCATCATCCGTCCGTCCGTTTGGTGGCGGTCAACAAAACGAATAACCACTTTGCGAAAAGGGATGCTCTATGGGATCCGACTCCCCGCAGCCCGACTGCCGGATGGAGGACCCAGCGATTGCTATCGCTGCTCTCCTTTTCACTTCCTCTTCCCACCAGTCGCCCGCCCTTTCTCGTGCAAACGAAACAACGTCTATACATTCCAACCCGTTGTCCTGCGAGTGCTTTGTTGACGGAATATTTCGCAACCGCGGACGTTGACCCGCCACCGTCACGCTCGCGTTCCAAGCACAGCCAGCGGTCGAAGCTGAGCCTTCATCTCGTTCACTCCCGGCGTGAGGGTGCGGCCACCGCGGTGCTCACAACAACGAGCGGAGGGCCGGGCGGATAAAACGCAGCGACGTGGCGCATTGGGGACCACAGGTGGTGCATCTGCCAGCCGTCATCTCGGGTCGCCTCTGACAGAGGTTGCGGTGGTTTTTGCCCCGCGCGACGAACCCGGCAACCGTGGTTTGATTCCCGCCCACCTGGTGCGGTGTGTAAAAGATCATCGACACTGGGGAGACAAAGGCAGCCAGACGTGGTGCTGGCCACCCACCCCTTCGCGTGCCGTGCCGGCCTTCATAGACGCTCGCTCACAGCACTTGCCCCTACAGTCTGTTGAGGCCTCACGGTGGATGTTTGTCTCCGACCCCCAGGGTACCATGGGAGTGGTGAGAATGTGGACCCCTCACCCCGCAAAGCGGGCCCCCCAGCCCCCCCCGTGACCTTGGGCCCCGGCGACCCCCAGCCACCACACGAGCCCCCCACGTCGACCCCCCAGGACTCGGCCCCCAAAGCGCAGCCTGGTGAGTACCGACCCCGACCCTCGCCACCCCGACGACTCTCCCTGCGTCATCCTGTGTCTCCCTGTGTCTCCCTGTGTCTCCCTGTGTCTCCCTGCGTCATCCTGTGTCTCCCTGTGTCTCCCTGTGTCTCCCTGTGTCTCCCTGCGTCATCCTGTGTCTCCCTGTATCTCCCTGTCTCTCCCTGCGTCATCCTGTGTCTCCCTGCGTCATCCTGTGTCTCCCTGCTTCATCCTGTGTCTCCCTGTGTCTCTCCGTGTCTCCCTGTGTCTCCCTGCGTCATCCTGTGTCTCCCTGTGTCTCCTTGTGTCTCCCTGCATCATCCTGTGTCTCCCTGCGTCATCCTGTGTCTCCCTGCTTCATCCTGTGTCTCCCTGTGTCTCTCCGTATCTCCCTGTGTCTCCCTGCGTCATCCTGTGTCTCCCTGTGTCTCCTTGTGTCTCCCTGTGTCTCCCTGCGTCATCCTGTGTCTCCCTGTATCTCCCTGCGTCATCCTGTGTCTCCCTGTGTCTCCCTGTGTCTCCCTGCGTCATCCTGTGTCTTCCTGTGTCTCCCTGCGTCATCCTGTGTCTCCCTGTGTCTCCCTGTGTCTCCCTGTGTCTCCCTGCGTCATCCTGTGTCTTCCTGTGTCTCCCTGCGTCATCCTGTGTCTCCCTGTATCTCCCTGTCTCCCTGTGTCTCCCTGCGTCATCCTGTGTCTCCCTGTGTCTCCCTGCGTCATCCTGTGTCTCTCTGTGTCTCCATGTATCAGAATCCATGCGTATGCATTGGCAGGACCCCGGGGTCCCATCACTGCCCTGGGGTGGGACAACCCGCGTAGCGACACGAGTCTTGCCTTTCCGACAACAAAACTAGTGTCAATAGATCGGCCTCGTCGAGAGCTACTCGGGGCACTAAGTTTCTTAAAAAGTTGACAAATTACATAAACACGTTAAATTCACTGCCTGGGGGGCGGGCTCGCCTTGGCAAAGAAGCTGAGGATCGACGGCTGACCGGAGGGCGTCGTCGCCGCGCGCGACTGCGGCGGACGCCCCCCGGGGCTCGCGTTTGGCCGGTGGGGTGGCGCCCATCGTGTTGATCGCCGCCTGCTGCTGCTGCTGCTGGCGCTTGTTGGCACGGCGAGTCTGGGCGGGCGGCGCGTTGCTGTCGGGGTCACGAGTGGGACGGACTGAAAAATAATAATTATTATTGTTGACCTGATTTTTGCGGGACCCCGGGGTCCCGCCAAATGATTCAGATGTTCCCCGCTTCTGCTTTGCGTTTTCTCTTCTCCGCCCGTTGGCTCCCGCGGCCCTCCCTCCCTCCCTCGCTCGCCCTCTCCTGTCCCTCTCCTGTCCCTCTCTGGCCAGGAGGTGGCAGCACAGCATTGCGTCCCAGAGTGCGCGCGCCTGTGCGTTTGTGCAGCTGTGGGTGTCTGCTCCTGGCGTGCGTCTCACTCTGGTGTTGCGCGTTGCTCGGTTTTTCTCCGGTCTCCTGCCGCGCGAAACCAAACTCTCGAGGCCCCAAAAAAACATTGCCAGTGTAGCAGGGGGGCCCTCTTGAGCAAGGGGTCTCTTGGGACTCGGTGAGCTATTTGCTGGGTCAGTACAGGGGAGCGTTGTTGCACCAGCGAGGTTGGATTTATTTATTTGGTGATGTCCAAGTGTAACCGCATCTCAGGACGCTTCGACAGAAACGGTGGACGCTTTTATTTTATAGAGACGGGCGGTCAGTCATAGGTCTCTGTGAGTCTTTGAGTCTCTGTGTGAGTCAATACGTCTCTGTGTAAGTCTGTGGGCCTCCATGTGAGCCTATGGGTCTCTGAGTGTGCATCTATCTCTATTCGAGTTTAAAGGTCTTTATGTGAGTCTGTGGGTCTCTCTCTTACACCCCCTTTCTCTCTCCTCCCCCGTCTCCACCCCACCCATCTCTCTTTCATCACCCTATCCGTCCGAGCCACGTGTCCTTTGATGAAAGGGGCCATATTTTTTTTTTACGATAAATTCCGATGATGCTTCCGCGCGGCCCTGCCCCCTGCCAACGGACGGGCGTGAATTCCTCCCCGTGCCTCCACAGAGAGAGAGAGACGCAGCAGCGACAACGACATCGCCCATCAAAGCAAGGGCCGATTGCCCTGGCTCTCTCTCTCCCTCCCTCCCCGCCAGCGCTTGCCGTGACGTCACTAGTCGCTCCGCGTGTCTACCCAGGCCGCCTTGGAAGAACGACTCCGCAGATGCGGGAGCCGATGGGAGGCAGGCCGGGCTCCGAGGGCTCATGACGGCCGTGTCGGAGGCGCATCGGGAGCCTGGGTTCGGGTCCCGGTTTCGGCCGCTCAATCTCGGCGACTTGCGCAGATGCCCATCGACGTACATAGAGAAATGGGTAGATTTACGGAGAGACACAAGGGGGCTTGCGTAGAGACCCACGTGCAGGAGAGTCGTGATCATTCTGGGTTCTCGAGTGTATTGAGAGACCCGCAGAGTCGCGCAAGGACCCGCAGATTTACATTCATTAATTGGCTGATAACACCTTCGCACGTTCGTTCGTTTTTTTAAAATTGTATTTTTCCGTGCGCCACCCCAGCGCCGACGAAGCCTAAAAAGCCGAAGCTCCTCAACAAGTTCGACCGCGCGATCAAGGAGGAGCTGGACGCCGCGGAGAAGCTCCGCAAGAAGGTGACCCGCTCCGCTGACGAGGCACTGAATGTCGAAAACCGGTCCCAGAGCTTGCTCGAGCCGAGCCCGCTCCCGCTGACATTACGCGCTCCCATAAGGAAGGCCGCGGGGGGCCGATGGGACGCGTCGGAAGAAATATTTAGCGCGTCTAAGTCTCCTCTCCCTCCCGCTGTGCACCCAACCCCCCCCCCCCGGCACGGCCCACCCCCGCCGCCTTCCCCAGGGCTCCATGGATGAGGCGCTCCAGGCCTTCACAGAGCTTGTGCAGACCTACCCCAGCAGCCCGCGCGCTCGCTACGGGAAGGCTCAGGTGAGGCCACCCCGACGGCCCCTCCTCGCCGCCAGGCCGAGGGACAGGCTCCACGCAAGGCCCGCGGGCACACCGGGGGGGGGGGGGGGGTGGCTGATTGGCCGTGTGCCACCAGGCTGGGTGACGGTCGACGTCGCCGCTCCCGAGCGGCGGGGTATTGGTGTTTGGTATTGGTGTTTGGTATTGGTGTTTGGTATTGGTGTTTGGTATTGGTGTTTGGTATTGGTGTTTGGTATTGGTGTTTGGTATTGGTGTTTGGTATTGGTGTTTGGTATTGGTGTTTGGTATTGGTGTTTGGTATTGGTGTTTGGTATTGGTGTTTGGTATTGGTGTTTGGTATTGGTGTTTGGTATTGGTGTTTGGTATTGGTGTTTGGTATTGGTGTTTGGTATTGGTGTTTGGTATTGGTGTTTGGTATTGGTGTTTGGTATTGGTGTTTGGTATTGGTGTTTGGTATTGGTGTTTGGTATTGGTGTTTGGTATTGGTGTTTGGTATTGGTGTTTGGTATTGGTGTTTGGTATTGGTGTTTGGTATTGGTGTTTGGTATTGGTGTTTGGTATTGGTGTTTGGTATTGGTGTTTGGTATTGGTGTTTGGTATTGGTGTTTGGTATTGGTGTTTGGTATTGGTGTTTGGTATTGGTGTTTGGTATTGGTGTTTGGTATTGGTGTTTGGTATTGGTGTTTGGTATTGGTGTTTGGTATTGGTGTTTGGTATTGGTGTTTGGTATTGGTGTTTGGTATTGGTTTGGTATTGGTGTTGGTATTGGTGTTTGGTATTGGTGTTTGGTATTGGTGTTTGGTATTGGTGTTTGGTATTGGTGTTTGGTATTGGTGTTTGGTATTGGTGTTTGGTATTGGTGTTTGGTATTGGTGTTTGGTATTGGTGTTTGGTATTGGTGTTTGGTATTGGTGTTTGGTATTGGTGTTTGGTATTGGTGTTTGGTATTGGTGTTGGTATTGGTGTTTGGTATTGGTGTTTGGTATTGGTGTTTGGTATTGGTGTTTGGTATTGGTGTTTGGTATTGGTGTTTGGTATTGGTGTTTGGTATTGGTGTTTGGTATTGGTGTTTGGTATTGGTGTTTGGTATTGGTGTTTGGTATTGGTGTTTGGTATTGGTGTTTGGTATTGGTGTTTGGTATTGGTGTTTGGTATTGGTGTTTGGTATTGGTGTTTGGTATTGGTGTTTGGTATTGGTGTTTGGTATTGGTGTTTGGTATTGGTGTTTGGTATTGGTGTTTGGTATTGGTGTTTGGTATTGGTGTTTGGTATTGGTGTTTGGTATTGGTGTTTGGTATTGGTGTTTGGTATTGGTGTTTGGTATTGGTGTTTGGTATTGGTGTTTGGTATTGGTGTTTGGTATTGGTGTTTGGTATTGGTGTTTGGTATTGGTGTTTGGTATTGGTGTTTGGTATTGGTGTTTGGTATTGGTGTTTGGTATTGGTGTTTGGTATTGGTGTTTGGTATTGGTGTTTGGTATTGGTGTTTGGTATTGGTGTTTGGTATTGGTGTTTGGTATTGGTGTTTGGTATTGGTGTTCGGTATTGGTGTTGGTATTGGTGTTCGGTATTGGTGTCGATATTGGTGTTTGGTATTGGTGTTTGGTATTGGTGTTTGGTATTGGTGTTTGGTATGGTGTTGGTATTGGTGTTTGGTATTGGTGTTTGGTATTGTGTTTGGTATTGGTGTTTGTATTGGTGTTTGGTATTGGTGTTTTGGTATTGGTGTTTGGTATTGGTGTTTGGGTTTTGGTATTGGTGTTTGGTATTGGTGTTTGGTATTGGTGTTGGTATTGGTGTTTGGTATTGGTGTTTGGTATTGGTGTTTGGTATTGGTGTTTGGTATTGGTGTTTGGTATTGGTTGTTTGGTATTGGTGTTTGGTATTGGGTTGGTATTGGTGTTTGGTATTGGTGTTTGGTATTGGTGTTTGGTGTTTGGTATTGGTGTTTGGTATGGTGTTTGGTATTGGTGTTTGGTATTGGTGTTTGGTATTGGTGTTTGGTATTGGTGTTTGGTATTGGTGTTTGGTATTGGTGTTTGGTATTGGTGTTTGGTATTGGTGTTTGGTATTGGTGTTTGGTGTTTGGTATTGGTGCCAGCTGTCCAGGCGGGGACCGGCTGGTACCAGGAGCTGCGCGCGGGGTGGCAAGGCTGAATCTTATACCTCCATGCTAACCGCCATCCTCCCACCGTCACCGCCCCCCCTCCCCTCCCCACCGCGTGGGACAGGCGGAGGACGACCTGGCGGAGAAGCGGCGCAGCAACGAGCAGCTGATGCGCGCCATCGCAACGTACGCGGAGGTGGCCGACCTCCCCGATGCCCCGGCGGAGCTGGTGCAGCTGGCGCTGAGACGGCAGGCGAACCGGCTGCAGTTCCTGGGTGAGTGGGCGGCGAGCGGGGGGCGAGCGGGGGGCGAGCGGCTTAGTTTACCGGGGCGGCCGCTGCGTTGGAACCCGCGAGGCTCTGCGACGGCGTGCTGAGCCGCTGCGTCGCTCTCAAAGTGTAAACGAAAAGTGAACGTGTGGGCCTCGGCCACCGCTATTGTTCGTCATGTAAACGTTAGATCGACGTAAGAGTAGGTGCCTCGTTAGCCCACCTCCACAATTCTGGTGAGTCGCCCCGCCGATGCCGGTCGTGGTGATCGCCAGCGATAATCGTCATTTGACTCAAATCGCATTGGTTTTTACTCTCCAGCGCGGCAAACGGTCCGTGCTTAATCAGTCACTACTTGGCCCGTTTTGTTCACGTGACAAACTGCTTGGTTGTGTCGGGCGGAGATGGGTTATCGGCGCGTTTACATCGACGCGATCTGACCCAAAAACTTTTATTTTTACCAAGAAAAGCCCACTGAGCTCAGAGCTTTTTTTTCAGAGGCACACGTGATGATAGCTCATCCATCGAGAGGTGCCCTGTATCGTCATCGTCGTCGCACGTGGGAATTTTAAGCAGCAGCCAAAATAGTCTCGGTTCTTTCGGTAAAGTCACGTAGAAGGGAAATAATAAAATAAAATAAATAAAACGTTATATAATAAAATTCTCACGACGTTTCGGCCGCAACGCAAGCAGCCGTCCTCAGGTGAAGAACACAGAGGCTGTCGAGAAGGCAGCGCTGCAATGAACACTGCTGAGCTTGGCGGCGTATTTTAAGCTGGGTGAGAGGCGCAGAGCGCCTTGACAAAGGAGTTTACATGTCAACAGCCAAATAATCTAAACGCGCGTTGTCTCTAAATGTGGAGGAGGGGGGGTTGGAGGCAAAATCGGTGGAGGAACTCGGAGAAAAATCCACGCGGCGACCGCCAAGGGGAGAGAAAGAGAACACGCAGACTCCAAATATACCAAACTATTTGACGAAACATGTTTTAAATTTTATTTTACCAGATGAGGCCCACTGGGCTATATAGCTGTTTCTTTCGGAAGTGACCTGGCCACAAATGATAGCCCAACGAGAAGTGGCTTATCATCATCGTGTGGGAATTTATAGCAGGCAAATAAGCCCTAGACACGTGACGTTGATTCTGAACGCGGAGGGAAAAACCGCGCGTCCACGGGGAGAGAGAGAGAGAGAGGGAGAGACACGCAAACCCCAAATGCACAAACAGGCACTGCCAGGGTCCCGGATCGAACCCACGTGCCGTCCTGTGTAGCGGGCAAAAGGGGAGCGCGACGCTCGTTCTGGTGGACGGTGCCACTCCCATCGCCACCGCCAGGACCTACAACGTCTGCGGCCACCGCAGCCCAATTTGTCCACTTTCCCGCGGCCCTCGTCCGTGCCCTTTGCGGGCACTGTTTCTCGAGTGATGTCAACTGAATTGCCACTCAGGAATCGCCTGACATGGGCGCGGCACCAAGGCAAAGGTCTTCCCCCCTACCCCCCTACCACCCACGGCACCGCACCCGCAGCGTAGCGTAGCCCACGCAGGCTGTTGGGGCAAGCGCTGTTAGCGAGCGCTTGTGAAGGCCGGCAAGGCGTACCTAACGAGGGGCGAGGTGGCGCGGGGAGCGCCGCGCCCGGCCGTCTTTGTCTCCCCGGTGCTGATGACGATGTTTACAGGAGGCACCGAGGTACAGCGTACTCATTTGAGACCGAGGCCCAGGACCGGTGCAGATAATGGTCATGGATGGTGGCCGTGAGCCGGAATCGAACTCGGGCTGCGCGGGTTCGGAGCGCAGCGCGCCGAACCGCTGCACTGCAGCTCCCCACGCACAACACAAAGACACAATCCCCCCGTGTAGCCTTCACAGACTGTTGGGGCAAGTGCTGTTAGCGAGTAGCACCTATGAAGGCCGGGACGGTACACGAGGGGGGTGGATAAACAACACCCCACGCTTGGCCGCCTTCGTCTCCCCAGTGGCGATGTTTACACACCGCACCAGGTGGTCATTTGAGGCCGAGTTGAGCACACGCACACGTTGACACACACACACACACACGTATGTGCACACACGCGTGAGCACAAAGTAATGTTGCCCAACAGCCGCCGCGCGAAATGTCACCGAGTCGCTTGAGAGAAGGAATGGTAAGCGGCGGATTCCTCGGGGGGGTTGGCGTGACAACGGCAATGCGCTGGCAGCGCACGGGCCGAGCGAGTCTCAAGACGTCCTCTTGAGGAGGGTCCCGCCGCATGGGTCTTGCTTATTTTTGTAATGCGAAGATGCTTTCAGCCGATGGAGTGAGAGGGTCATGCGCACGGGAGGGGAAACCCGGATCGCCACGAGAAAACCCACGGCGTGTGAGCGAGCGAGCGGGGGGTGGGGTGGGGGTGGGAGGGGGGGGGGGGCAACGCTCTATCCCGGTACGGATGGAACAGATGGAGACCAGTCCGACTCAGATCCACGGCTCGCGGCGACCTGCTGCGCCCGCGTTGAAACCTCGCGCCACACGGCCAGCGCAGCAGCTCGTGTTCGGGATGCATCCCTGAGTCGGAGCCAGTTCTGCAACAGACTCAAAGCGGTGTTGTTGTTGTTGTTGTTCCTGAGAGCCTACTTCAGTGTGCGACCAGTGCGCATTCGTGATGGACTGGACTCATAAGAGTGCACATTAGCAAACTTTCTTACTTTGCTGTACCGCCTTCACCTGGCGAGCCAGGGAGTACGGCTCCCTCCTCCTCCTCCTCGACACCCAACGAGCGAAGGGAGTTTTGTACCCGCCGCCCGCTGGTACATCATGGCCGGGTCCGGCTGCTGCTGCTGCTGCTGCAGCAGTAGTATTGTACCCTGGGGCGTGCGCTCACCCCACGCCTGCTCTTGCTCCACGGGCACGCTGACATTTTCAAGAAGACAGGGCGGTCGGTCGCCGACGTCATCACCGCCACGGACCGATTGCTCAACGTGTTATTGGCGTCGGGACTTTATTTTTTTTTGCAAACATTTCCTGTCGCAGCGTCTCTCTATTGTTATTTTGATGAGTCGTGCGATTCAGCTCCTGCCACTTCTATTTTTCGGACGTGGATTGGAGGGGGGCGGTGGTGGGGGTTGGGCAGTGGGGGGAGTGGGGGGGGGGGGAAGAGGGGGATGGGGCAAGCCAGATGGAGATGGAGCGATGGAATCGGGATCTCGCGGGGGGAGGGGGTGCGATGGCTTGGGGGAGAGAGGCCTTCATCCAGCAGTGGATAGACGATGATTATGCTGATGAAGATGGAGCTCCCTCCTTTGGCGGGCGCCTGTTAAGGCCGGCACGCGTATCGAGGAATGTCCCTGCGAAGATGACGTCGCCTCACCCTGCTGTTGAGTCGCAGAAGTCAAAACCAGTCCAGGCGCTTTAGCTGCGTAAACAAATTCTGCTGGAGAACATTACCGGACATCTGTGAAAAAGAGCTTTATAGCTCATCGGATTCCTCCAGTATAAAATACATTCTCTGATTACTGCAGCGGGAGGCCCTACGCTGCTGGACGTACAAACTGAACTCTCGCTTAAAGCGGGGGAGAGACAGAGGGAGAGAAGGAGAGGGGGAGGGGGAGTGGGTTAGAAGGCAGAGAGAAGGCAGGGAGAGTTAGCGAAATAGACGCTAAAATTGGCCAGACATCCCAGTGTAGCAGGACCTGGACTGACCCATAGGGGCAGCAGTCCATGGGGCAAATTCCCGGTGGGCCAGTCCATTCCGAGGAGCGGTGGGGGCCGGTCTGCCCTGGAAAAAATTGCAAATGTGATCAAGAGTTTAAAAAGTACAAATGTTTTTTTAATGAAAATATATATCTTATCACCTCTGAGTACGCTTGATTGCTTATTTAAGCTCTCGGCTGGCATTGAGTCCCCACATGTTCGGCACAGCCCCCCAAAGGAGTCTTGCTCACCCTGACCCACCCCCACCCCCCCCCCCCCCCATTTGTGTTTTTGGACCCAGCCCAGAAATATGGGCCAATGAGATCGCACGGCAGAGTTCAGGCCAAGACGTCGTCGCGTCGCAGATAGAGCGACTCGTACTTACGTGGTCTTGTCATCCGCGCAACAACCGTTTAAAAAGGAAAAAAAATTACAAAACGGTTGCCCCCATCGCCCGAATTTTGGGCCCGGCGCGTTGAAAAATGCTCGCGACGATTTTTGTTGCCCGTGGTCGTTCACCGCGGTTTAAAGCAGCCCCCTCTTGACAACGAGCCTTGAGACTCTGTTTTTCCCCCTTGACAAGTGAATGGCACTACCAGCGGCAGTTGAATAATTATTTAGTTGATTACATTTTGTTCCGAGTCAACCACACCCCACGTACCTTCGTTGTTATTTAGCCTCTGCTCTTTCACGGTTTTGGTTCTCATACGGTAGGCATTCGTTTTGCCAAATGTCAGCCCCCTCCCCCCCCGTGACGTCGATTGATGTTTGCTGAATTCGTCCGATTTGCGTGGGGGAATTGTGATCGTTCACTTGCCGTGAAGTCGCACGACTCCCCACTGCCGATGAGTCCTGTTTCCTTTCTGCACTGCAAATAAAATTAGTTTTTATTTCGGAATGGAAACGGCAGGTTCCCTTTGTGATCATCGGCGGAGCGAGGCGGGTGGGTGGGTGGGTGGGGGTGCAACGGTCTGTCCCCGTACAGATGGAACAGATGGAGATTAGTCCACACCTTTTGCTGTATCACCTTCTCTTATGCATGTATGAATGTTGAACTTCCTTCGCACCGTACGTAGCCAAGCGTGCTAATCGCAGGTGCGGGGGAAGGACAACAAACTGAGCACAAAGCGGTTATTAATCTAATCTCACTCGCAGCCAACACTGGCGACGAACATTTGAACTGGGCCGGAGGCTGGGCCTCCCCTAGGTCGACTCAGCCTCAAATGAGTACCTGATGTGGCATGTAAACCTCGGCATTGGGGAGACAAAGGTGGCCGGGCGCGGTCCTGGCCACTCGTGCGCCGTGCCGGCCTTCATAGGCGCTGCTGCTCGCTATGCCCGTACTGACGCACGTTGACCTTAGTTCGCACCAATAGGAAGTGCGCGGAAGGACGGCACACCTTAACAGCACTTGCCCTGGCATTCCCTTAGAAGCTACACGGGTGGTCTTTGTCTTTGTAACCCCCCCCACCGTTCCCCCCCGCAGGCCGCATGCGCTCGGCCGTGGCGGCGCTGAGGAAGCTGGTGCAGCGGTACCCGGCCGACGTGGCGCTGCAGAACGAGCTGGGGGTCGCCCTGCTCCTGCAGGGAGACAACAAGGGGGCAAAGGTCGTCTACGAGGAGGTCAGCAGGTCACGGCCGCCACAACCCTCCATACCGCTCCGCCGCCGCCTCCACCGCCTCTGTCCTCTTCCGTGCATGTGCGCTTGCACCGTGCGTGCGTGCGTGCGTACACACGTACACACGTACACACGTACACGCGTACACACGTACACACGTACACACGTACACGCGTGTAAGTGTGTACGTGTGTACGGTAGCGCTTTGCGCGCTGCGCTGCGAACCCGGCGGCCCCAAGTTCGATTGCCGCTCACGGCCAACAGCGGTGACGATTATCCAAAACCGGTCATGGGCCTCCCCTAAGTCGACTCGGCCTAAAAATGAGCGCCTGGTGCGGTGGTTAAAAACATCGTCACTGGGGAGACAAAGGCGGTCGGGCGTGGTCCTGGCCACCCACCCCCCTCGTGTGCGATGCCGGCAGTCTGTTAAGACTACACGGGGGATCTTTGTCTTTGTAGGTTCTGGCCAGATCTCCGGACGATGGATTTGCGAAGGTGCACTTTGGGTTCATCCTGAAGGCGGAGAACAAGATTGCTGAGAGCATCCCCTTCCTGCGGGCGAGTCTCGCGCACACGCACACTCGCGCGCACACACACGCACACACTCGCGAACACACACACTCGCGCGCACACACACGCACACTCGCGCACACGCACACACTCGTGTACATGCACACACTCGCGCACACGCACACACGCACACACGCACACTCGCGCACACACACGCACACACTCGCGCACACACACACACTCGCGAACACACACACTCGCGCACACGCACACTCGCGCACACACACGCACACACTCGCGCACACACACACACTCGCGCACACGCACACACTCGCGCACACACACACACACTCGCGCACACGCACACACTCGCGAACACACACACTCGCGCACACGCACACACTCGCGCACACGCACACACTCGCGAACACACACACTCGCGCACACGCACACACTCGCGCACACGCACACACTCGCGCACACACACACACACTCGCGCGCACACACACACACTCGCGAACACACACACTCGCGCACACGCACACACTCGCGAACACACACACTCGCGCACACACACACTTGCGCACACGCACACACTCGCGAACACACACACACTCGCGCACACACACACTTGCGCACACGCACACACTCGCGAACACGCACACACTCGCGAACACACGCACACTCGCGCACACGCACACTCGCGCACACGCACACTCGTGTACATACACACACTCGTGCACACACGCACACTCGCGCACACACGCACACACTCGTGAACGCACACACTCGCGCACACACACACACACACTCGCGCACACACACACACACACTCGCGCACACACGCACACACTCGCGAACGCACACACTCGCGAACACACACACTTGCGCACACGCACACACTCGCGAACACGCACACACTCGCGTACATGCACACACTCGCGAACACACACACACTCGCGAACACACACACACTCGCGAACACGCACACACTCGCGCACACGCACACACTCGCGAACACGCACACACTCGCGCACACACGCACACTCGCGCACACACGCACACTCGCGTACATGCACACACTCGCGAACACACACACACTCGCGTACATGCACACACTCGCGAACACACACACACTCGCGAACACACACACACTCGCGCACACACGCACACTCGCGCACACACGCACACTCGCGCACACGCACACACTCGCGAACACGCACACACTCGCGAACACGCACACACTCGCGCACACGCACACACTCGCGTACATGCACACACTCGCGCACACACGCACACTCGCGCACACGCACACACTCGCGTACATGCACACGGACAGCTGCATATGGACATACATACAAACGCACATACCCACGCACGCACACGCACACTTACATGCACACACACTCGCGTACACGCATACACACTCGCATACACGAACACCGATTTGTCGAGTCACCTGATTAATTAATTGGGCACTTGTATGGATGTGCGATTATTTAGTTACACGATTGTGCAGTTGTATGACTGTGCAGTTGTATGACTGTGGTTGTGTGGTGTTGCGGTTGTATGACTGTGGTTGTGTGGTGGTGTGACTGTGGTTGTGTGGTGGTGTGGTTGTTTGACTGTGGTTGTGTGGTGGTGTGGTGGTGTGGTTGTATGACTGTGGTTGTGTGGTGGTGTGGTTGTATGAATGTGGTTGTGTGGTGGTGCGGTTGTATGACTGTGGTTGTGTGGTGGTGCGGTTGTATGACTGTGGTGGTGCGGTTGTATGACTGTGGTGGTGTGGTGGTGTGGTGGTGTGGTTGTATGACTGTGGTTGTGTGGTTGTGTGGTGGTGTGGTTGTATGACTGTGGTTGTGTGGTCGTGTGGTGGTGTGGTTGTTTGACTGGTTGTGTGGTGGTATGGTGGTGTGACTGTGGTTGTGTGGTCGTGTGGTTCTATGACTGTGGTTGTGTGGTCGTGTGGTGGTGTGGTTGTTTGACTGGTTGTGTGGTGGTATGGTGGTGTGACTGTGGTTGTGTGGTGGTGTGGTTCTATGACTGTGGTTGTGTGGTGGTGTGGTGGTGTGGTTGTTTGACTGTGGTTGTGTGGTGGTGCGGTTGTATGACTGTGGTTGTGTGGTGGTGTGGTTGTTTGACTGTAGTTGTGTGGTGGTGTGGTGGTGTGACTGTGGTTGTGTGGTGGTGTGGTTGTATGACTGTGGTTGTGTGGTGGTGTGGTGGTGTGGTTGTTTGACTGTGGTTGTGTGGTGGTGTGATTGTATGACTGTGGTTGTGTGGTGGTGTGGTTGTATGACTGTGGTTGTGTGGTGGTGTGGTTGTATGGCTGTGGTTGTGTGGTGGTGTGGTTGTATGACTGTGGTTGTGTGGTGGTGTGGTTGTATGGCTGTGGTTGTGTGGTGGTGTGGTTGTATGACTGTGGTTGTGTGGTGGTGTGGTTGTATGGCTGTGGTTGTGTGGTGGTGTGGTTGTATGACTGTGGTTGTGTGGTGGTGTGGTTGTATGACTGTGGTTGTGTGGTGGTGTGGTTGTATGACTGTGGTTGTGTGGTGGTGTGGTTGTATGACTGTGGTTGTGTGGTGGTGTGGTTGTATGACTGTGGTTGTGTGGTGGTGTGGTTGTATGACTGTGGTTGTGTGGTGGTGTTGCGGTTTCCAGGCAGGTCTGGAGTCCGAGGCCCCAGGAACGAACGACGGCCGCTTCTACTTCCACCTGGGAGACGCTCTGCAGCGCATGGGGGAGCGCGACGAGGTGGGGGAGGGTGGGGGGGGGATGCGCCCACAAACACAAATACAAAGATCCCCCACGCCGTCTGACCTTAACACGCCGTTGGGGCAAGTGCACCGTGCCGGTTGGGGGTGGCGAGTGGGCGGAGCCTCGCTGCACCGGCCATTGCCTGACAGTGCGGCGCCATCGTCCTAAGCACCTCGTACGGCTCCCTCCCCTCCTTGCATCCTCCCTCCCTCCCTCTTCCTCATGCCCCTCCCTCCCTCCCCTCCTTGCATCCTCCCTCCCTCCCTCTTCCTCATGCCCCTCCCTCCCTCCCCTCCTTGCATCCTCCCTCCCTCCCTCTTCCTCATGCCCCTCCCTCCCTCCTCCTGCCTCATGCCCCTCCCTCCATCCTTCTCCTGCCTCCCCTTCCCCTCATCATCATCTGTACTCTATCCTCCTTCACCCTCCTTTATCCTTCCTCCCCCACGCTCCCCCCTCCCCCCCGCCAGGCGTACCGTTGGTACGCACAGGGCCACGAGCAGGGCCACTTCTCCTCCGTGTTCCAGCGCTCGCTCTACAACGTGCGCGGCCTCAAGGCCCAGCCGTGGTGGACGCCGCACGAGACGGGCTACACGGAGCTCGTCAAGGTGGCCCGCACCGCACCGCACCGCTCGCTCGCACGCTCACTCACCCCCTCGCTCGCTCGCCCAAACGTTCGCTCACTCGCTCGCCGCTCACTCACTTGCTCGCTCAATCGCTCACACACTCGCTCAGCCGCTCCTTCACTCACTCGCTCACTCACCCCCTCGCTCGCTCAAACATTCGCTCACTCACTTGCTCACTCGCTCGATCACTTGATTGATCACTCACACACTCACTTTGTGTGAGTCTGTGGGTCTCTGTGTGAGTCTACGGGTCTCTGTGTGAGTCTACGGGTTTCTGTGTGAGTCTGTGGGTCTCTGTGTGAGTCTATGGGGCTCTGTGTGATCACGAGAGAGCTCCAGGTCATGGGGCCAGCAGAGGAGAATGAAAAACGTAACCTTAAAAGGACAGAAATATTAAATAAATAATTGTTTACGCTAATTAAAGAGCACACGGAGTTGCTGCTTCAGAAACAGGTTAAGCATCATTTCTCTCTCTTGCTCCCTGTAATTATCTCTGCATATTCCTGTTTCTCCATGTCTCTGTGTCTCTATCTTTGTGTGTCTCTGATTCTCACTCCATCTGTTGCTCTCCATCTCTCTGGCTTTCTGTCACGTCTCTCTGGAGTTTTCTATTGGCACTCAATCTGCCTCCATCTCTCGGGGTCATCGTGAGAGGTCATAGAGCAGTCGTTGGTCACCGCTCGGGACACAGGGCTGCACCGCTGGCAGCCCGGGGCTCGTGCCGCGTACATCCACGCCGGCTGCGATTTCCCAACGTCCCCACCGCTGCCGGCACGTTCACCGCCACGCCGGCTGATCGCCAGGGGATGGCAGCACAGACGTGGCCCGTCGCTGTCCGTTTACGTCTCTCGGATCCGCCCGTGGATTGAATGCAGCCCCGTGCCACCCCAGTGCCACCCCGTGCCACCCCGTG